TTACTATTTAATCTTATCTATTCAAATTTAGTATAATAGAAAATTGGATGACCTTAATTTTTATTGACAAGTCGTTCCAAACCGACCAACCCAACCCAACCCGACCGATACTTGATTGAGTTGGGTTGGGTTGGGTTGAGTTTCAACCTTTACATGAGTTGAATTAAGTTAAATTTTGATCAAATCGATCATGTTGGGTTGAGTTTGGGTTGAGGCAAAAACGACCTATCCCAACCCATGCCCACCCCTAGTTGTTGCCGCCGTTTGCTTACCGCTCATGTGCCGCTTGCTTGGCTCGAGGCTGCTGCTCGAGCGGCATATATCTTGGGAAAATGTATTTCCTCCTTTTGACGTGGTTTTGGTCGCTTTCAAGCATAACATATTCTTTTGGGTTCTATATATAATCCACGAATTGTATAGTTTTCGTATGACTTTGTATGAGTTAGAATCAAGTTAGAAGCACAATATTTTGTATTCTTTTTCCATATTAATAAATTCGTCATTCATCCGTCAATTGTTCTTGTGCTGTGATTATTACTTTATATTGTGCTATATAATCTCTTTCGTATGCCTAACTAATGGTATCAACATACATAATTCTTGTTCGGATTCTAAAAAGTTTCGAATATAATGTGTTTGTAACAACTTCATATGTTCAGAATAATTGCTAATATTAATGCATCATCACTTGGTCTTACGTTCTCAATAAACGAAGTGTGCCAGATTATGCAGTCTCCACTTGACACTCAATGGAAAGAAGTCTTGCGATGCTTGAGAGGAAACTAGTTGTTGAGTATCTGTCCCATGACCTGGGTTGTTCATGTCAATAAATTGATCTAATTAAAAAGATTCAATGATAATTATGATTGATAGGGGATTAAGTTAACTAGGAATTTTAGTTAAAGTCGTAAGTTACCGAGAAAACCTTGCATGCGTGCGGTCTTTCATTGTGCTGGAAGGAAAAGGAATAGGAAAAGAAAAGGAGAGCCCTGCTAGGACTTTTAGATGATGCCTCAATAATTATTATTATTGACCAAACTTTTTGATAGCTCAACTTTATGTGGTGCGATTGTCTCGAAATTTGGGTAACATGTTAAAAATCTGAAAAGTAATGAATTTTGATTAGATCTTTCTTCGTTGTTTTTTCGTTATATTCCAAGAATAATTTTCTCGAGATAGTTGTGATTGGATAGTTATTATCGTTGCTTTTGGAAGATTCAATCTTTGAGAGAGAGAGAGGATTTTTAGGTACCAAGAATTGTTAATTCTTGATTATTTGGGTAGTCTCTAGTATTATGTAGAAAGGTCGTACCCATTATTATTTGTTAATGATAAAAATCAGATCAATAATTTTCTCCCACATATCAAGGTTTTCGCTTTATCAACTCTGTGATTTTGATGTTCAAATTGGAGCAAGAAGAGAAATTGTTATTTGGGAGAGAAATATTTGATTTGTTCATGGTTTCTTTCTATTAAACGGAGATATATATAAATTTTCCTTAGTGCTTCCCTATGAAAAAATTAATCTCATTTTTAAAAATACATTCTAATTGATCAATAAATATTTTCTACTTATTTATCACTTATTTCTACTATTTATAAATTAAATCTTTTATAAATTCTTTCCAAACCGTCTTAACTTTGATTAACTTAGTTCCTTTTGACCTCTATTTAAACACACTGCAATTGCACTACTACAATTCAATTTAGCCCCTATTTAGTAGTTATTAAAATCTTGATTTTAATTTGTAAAAGCTAATAAATAATTTTATTCACGTATTTTACGGGATTTACTAATTTTTAATCATATACTCATATATTTCATCATTTTTTTTAATCAAAATTTACTTAATTTTAATCTCCATCAAGTATGAGCTAATTTTTTGATAATAAAGAACGAGAAAGTCAACCATACGTAAAAAATAATGCTATTTAAATGATAAGTCTCTCTAAAAATAGATATAGAAATTGGAACTTGGAAGTTGGAAGGAGGCTTCTATCCCCCACCCCCGCCACCCACCCACAACTAATTATTTTCACTACTGCTGCTGCTGCTTCTTCGTAAACTCTTCCAAATTGCGTCCCAGAATACTTATTTAATTATTAATCTCGCGACGCAGATAAACAGTAGAATTTTATGGACCCGAATATTATGAAATTCCTCGAAGAAGACGAGGTGAGCCCGATACATGTTTAATCTCGTCGATATAGGTTTATATGTTTTTTTCT